AGCACATGAAACGAAGCAACTTAAACAACTTACATTGAAAGAAATGTTTAATAAAGTAAACAAATAAATATTAAGCTTCTTTTTTTTTTTTTTTTTTTTTTTTTTTTTTTTGTAAATTTTGATACCCTTTAGATCATAATTGTTCTTTATTTCATAAATTACGGTTTCATATTTTTAATTTTGTAATTTCTGCATGCCATCTTACCAGATTTAAACTGATGATCTATAATCCGGAAAAATCGATAATCCGGAATCGCCGAAGTCCCGACGAGTCCGGATTAACGACTTTTGACTGTACATGCTTTTTGCAATAATATGCAACAATAATATATGGATGTGAAAAAAATTTGTTTTATTTAAAACATTTTGGCGTTGGGAAAATAAAATAAAAGTAGCGAATACTCTATCAAGGGTATCGAAAGACGTATACAGTTTTAAACGTACCGTAAGGTATTTTTCAATTCTTTAAGCATAACAATTTTCTTAAAATCTATATTTTTGTAGTTCAACAGTTTAAAATTTTATAAAACAAATTCATAATCAAAATCGCGCTGTTGTTAGTTATCGAAAAATAACCAAGATGTGATTTTTTGCGTAAATGTCACTAAACTATACAAATTGCTATTATCTATCACACTATGAATGTTTCTTTCATGCGAAAGTGTTCCTTTTTCGATTTGTATGGAACTGTCGTGTGTCGAAATACTATCAGAACCGTGTCAAGCGAGCTTCTGAATGTAAACAAAGAACACCCCATCTGGTGACCCAAGCTTCAAAGTAGTGCTTCACTTCTAGTGCCGACTGGCCCCTCCTTCCTTTCCTACCTCCATGGTTCAGGTAAAGAATAATCTGCAGAAGGTTCGAACAACAAAAGCAAAACAAAAGAACTTCCCCCTCCCTGAAATTATGCAGTTCCTTCTCCTCCCCCCGTGCTAGCGTTGGTTGCTGCAATTACTGACATACACATTTATATTTAAATCTGTCAATGTCTCCTTCCCCCCTTTTTTTAAATCTTGTGAAAATTAAAAAATAAGGTAAATGTTATCAACATTAAGCCATTAATGTATTTTGCTTTTTTATGTTATCATTCTAGCTACTTTTATCTTTCGCATTGATAAACATTTTATAAGGAAAGTTTAATATTAAAATTTTAGAAATGTGTCAACTTTTGTGCTTACGAAAGATAAAACATAGTGGTATTATGGTCCATAGATCTCCAATGAAGCACAACTTTAATTATTTTTAAAGCTGACACATAAATTATTAGATAGTTATTATTTTAACAGTAGATTTTAAGTGCAATAAATTACTTGAAGTAATGTATAACTTAGCTCGTTATTATTGTACAAACATAACATACAATTTTTAAAATTTCTTTCTTATTGATTGTTTTTAATACATCTGATTTATCGATGTACATCGTATAACTGTTATTGTATGCGTGTATTTAACGATCTCAAAAAATTAATTTTATTGATCGTCAGTTATTAGCCCAAAAGGGATTTGAGTCCCGAAGGGCTATTACTTTCGTTTTGGCATTTTGCTTCGGACTCCTATAAATGTCGGTTCACTTTTCAAACTGTTCCACAAAACGTTAGAGTCCTGCATTACATTTGAAGAAATTAAATAATGAAAAATCTGCGTAAATGTATGTATATTTCTCGCATTGTGATAAAACAACGGTATCTAGAGCCATCCAATTTTGAATGACGTAATCCTACTGCGTATATGAGTATCTGAAATCTCAAACTTGAAATTTGGAATTTGTTTTGGCTAATCTTTAGAATATGGTAACAGGTAGTTTGGCGACATTTTGCTAAGGCTATAAAGGTTACTAGCCGTGTACATGGATGTGCGCAATGCCATTTTTGTGCAATTCTGGTTTTTTTTTTTTTTTTTTTTTTTTTTTTTAAGTGAAAATAGGTCGACATGTACATGGATACCGTGTATGTGCAATTCTTAAAAACGCGGCAAGCAGTGGGCAATTCTGCACTTTCTCCCAATTTCGCACCTAATCTTCGTCATGATTAAGCACTTTTGTTCCATAAAAGTTTTAGCATAAGTATAATTCGGCTAGCAGATTGTTGGAAAAATATGTGAAGTTAAAAAAAAAAAAAAAAAAAAATCACCAAGTTACCATAATCCGAAGATTAACCTTTGTTTTATTATCGATTTCATATTTTGTAAAACTTTAAAGAATTTTTGAGTAACAAACTCAACGATTTAAAAGCGAGCAATGGCAACACCCTACAGGGGGGGGGACCTTTTTATCTCCAGCGCGTCTAACTGTGTATCGGAAATTCTAAAGACAGTATGCTCATTTTTAAATTATTTTGTGACATTGCTATTGAATTAAATTTTATGGTTTAAGTGCAAAGAACATGATATTTAATAAATAAAGGTAATACACGAAACGCTAAAAAACGTCCCTTTGGACGTAATTTAAAATTTGAAATATATATATAATCTGGATTTATCGTATAGCTTGGAATCGGTGATAGAATTAGTTAGAGATAATTCATTAGAGCGTTAAATACTCATGTAGATTTACAAATATGAAACAATACTCAAAAGTTATGAATTTAAATTAATATGAAAATCTTAATAAAAAGTGTAAATGAAAAACGTTTAATACCTAAAATACAATGATAGAATATTTAAAAGTTTATTTAGGGGGGAAAAACATATTTGTTGACAGTTTTCCAAAGATGATTTCATTATTATCAAGTCTCAGGTCGAAGATAATAATAAATCGTCGACTATCGGAACTTTGGTAGCCTACGAAATTTCATTCTATACTTCGAAGTAATTTAAACTCAGTGCGTTTTTGATAGCTGAGTAGGTCGCATTCGATTGTATATTGTAATAAATAACCATCTTTTTAAAGCAGTTTATTGACAGTCTTTTATGTTACTACATTCTATGAACTTAACAAACTCATCGCATCAAGAGCATTGAGTTTAAATGTTACAATATTTGAGACTTCAATCCAGATCCTTCTTCTTTCCATTTATCTGAAAGTTAGTCTATGCTTCATTTTAAACGACATTCGTTAAACCGGAATTTGGCTGTATTTGTAATTGGACCTCAGAACTTAAAATTTTTCAGTCTGCCGGAAGTGGTTGCCATTCCTTCTGCTTCGATGTCAGTCTGTAGGTTCAACGAATGTGGGAGTGGTTGTCTGCGTCTTTGATCGATTGAAGAGTAAATAGTTCAACGCCATTCTGCGAATTTCCCCTACCTCGTGCTTTTGCCGCATGCACACCGTCTGTGCAGCAAAGTGGGCTTTTGTTCGCCTGCACGTTTTATTTTTACGCACGGGAAGTCGAACGTTTATCACTGTTATCATTTCTAGCGCGAATGAATTAGGATCAGCTTACCTTTAAAGAGATTTATTTACCGCACAGTATTATAGTACAAATAAATTTCATAAGCGGGTGTGGCGTTTACGCTTTGTTTACTTGTGATGGATAAATGTTTAAAATTGTTTTCTAACATGGAGCTACAACGGTATGAAGCTTTTTCCATACACATATATTTACTTAATATTGGGGGAGGGGCTTTGATTCTATAAATTTCGTGTATTTTTATATGGGAATAATAGTAAAATGTCTTATTTTCAGGATGAATAATAAGTAGAGTATTGCATGGGCTTTGAATGTAATGCAGTTTTGTAGCATTCTAAAATGATTTTAGAAATATTATGATTATAGTTTTTATTTTTGACTGAGCATTTTCTTCACTCAGTCTTCCTTTTATCTTAAAGTCAATGATGTACTTTGCCTGCTTTTAAAATGTACACATTAAAAGTAATCATTGCTTTTAAAAGTAATCATTGCGCATACTTTTTCCTATTTTTCTCAAAGTAAAATAGAATGGCTCTCAATTTAATGAAAAAATACATATATGAGGTCATTTAGACATATATGTACTTAAAATTAAATTTGGGTCTAATTTTTTGCACATATGTTCTATAACATACGACATTAGAATATAATGGAAGTTCTAACATTAAATCTTTGCAATTATTCGAAGTCATTTTATTCATTAATAATTATTTTTTTAATTAAAATTTCTGATGAATTGCTTGATTGAAATCAATTTATAATACAATTTTAAGCAAACTTTAATAAAGGGATCAATTTTCATGTAAAAAGTTTTTTCATATTAAAGCAAAAAATATGGAAATTTTTAACTAAGCTGGGAATATAGAAAGAGAATAATACACATTTTCATTATGTTTAAACAAGACAGATATCTAAAATTCTTGATTTTAATTGCAAAATGTTCGATGTGTAGGGACATCAGTTTCAGCATTAAACAAATATTAAATATATATGAGTTTCACTGGTGAAAATTAAAGTGATCAAATATATTAAAATTTTAATGCACTACTTATAATACATAAAAGTAATTAAATGCTATTAATGACCTATTTCTGTTTCATGCATACACCGACATCTCCTTCTCATAAAAATTCTCAGATTTAATAATATTCTTTAGAGTTTATCTTAAATGAAAAATCAAATAAAATTTAGAAACATTAAAAAAAAAAAAAAAACTTTCCCGAATAACACAATATGCTTTGATATTGTTGCAGTAATATTTTTCCACGTGTGCAAATCAGCATATTGCTAGAATCAAAGTGCTGAGTAATGCAGTGAAAAATTACTTTTACTGTTATAATTACTATTTCTTCTGAATATCTGAATTCTAGCAATTTCATCGTTTTGTTATAATTCAGTTTGTAATAATGTATATTGGGAAAGCTTTATAATTCGATTTTTTTTTTTTTTTTAATATGCAAAGTAAAATTCTTTGAGGATGTGCTTTTAAAAATCTCTGAAAGAAATAAAAATTCTTTTAGTTTTCCGTTTGTTTTTAGAATTTGTTCTCATGCCGTGGTATGTTTGATGGCTTGCATCTGTATTCATAGTTTTTTTTGTTTTTTTTTTTAATTATCTTTTAGTATTATATTTAAACCTTTTACATTTTTTCAGGCACCTTTACAGTGGAAATCACTGGATCATAATTTACCTCGCCATAACAAAAAATTGACTGGGTCTTTATATTATTCTCCTATTGAATGCCGGAACGTGCGTCGTAAGAGAGCAGAACAGTTTGGCCTCACACCACCTGTAGATCCTTTTCTACATGATCAGTCTTTTCCTGGCATACAAAAACACCCAGAAAATGGGATTTCTTGTGTTGAGATGGGCGAGTCTCGTAAATGCACCATCGACAAATTCAAAGGTTTGTTTCTGTTGTATTTAAAACCTTAAGTAGTTGTTCTTATTATTCTTAGTAGAATATGAATCTAGATTTTGAATTAACTGGGATAATACTGAGGATGATATTCATGGATAACCCCAAAATATCAGTTAATCCAAAATCAGTTAAAATAATATACAGGAAAGAGAAATAACCCATACTATAATTAACATAAAAATATAACTAACAGTTTACATATATTTTTAAGCAGTTTAGTTTGAAGATTATGTTCATATAGTTGTAGAAATTAAATTAGCATTCGAAGCAAGAATATATCAAAGGGAACAATATTTTTTCTTTTATTAATCTTTTATTTCAACAAGAATCAACCGGGGAACAAAAGATTGCAAATTTATTTAATTTTTACAATTTAATAATTTATTTTAAAGAAATGACTTAATAGTGTTTATGTTTTACTGGTTTTGCATTATTCTCAATAAAATCAGTTCTCAAAGTACTGGAACTTCATATATTATCACTGCTGTTATCTCACATATTTTCTTTTCAGGTTTTTATTTCTGCCAGAAATTTTACTTTATTTTGAAAGTGTATGATAGCAATTTTTCCATTGTTCTGCAATAAACAAACATAACTATTTTAAGACAATTCCAGGTTACCACCTCTTTTAATTGAAAGTTAACTATTAATATAAAATTAAATAACTGAGTGAGGTTGTTTGATTGCCAATGCTTCATTTATTATTATGTATTTCTCAGGTGATTCTCTAGATTCTGTAAGCTTCAAGCCATCAAGAAGCTCATTTCTCAAAAAAAGTGAAACTTTCCATAGTCGTCGCTTGAGTGGTAGCTGGTTACTTTATAAATATATAGAAGGAGGTGCAAGTAATAGCTTAGACGCATCTGTGCGAAATCCAAATAAAGTAGTGGTCACCATCGATGCCCGCACAACAGAAGTAAGACAATAAATATTTTATAAGTTTGTATTTTTTTTAAAGTAATTAAAGTAAAAAAATTTTAAGTAAAAAAATCAGAGATAATAATCAAAATTTTGTATGCACGTTATTTAATAGTAAAGCAAACCTATAGAATTTTCACTAGAAAAATGGGCAGAGACTTAATTATTAGTGTGTTGCTCCAAGTTTGTATCTTGATCTTTACAATTAAAAACTTTTAACAAACAATGACTGCTTCAGAATGATGAAGAATCATATTTACATTGAAAGAAAGACATTGACATGAGAGTAGAAAAGAACTAAATGCTATTAAAATATTATGTAGATCTAATGCAACATCTGCTGATACTGAAATAATTTTTCCAATATTTGGTTTTATGGGTAGAAGATTGAGAAACAAGTTTAAGACTTGAGAAAGCTCCAAAGCTTGTTAAAAGTAAAATGATCATGTGATCAGACGGCGTGATTAATGATCGTCTGAATTCCTTCCCGGCAGGCGGAAATTGCGAACTTTTTTCATATCCTGTTGTGGCCTTTAAATTCAAAATTAATCTTGAAATGTGAACTGTTACAATATTATTAATATTTCAATATGTATTTGTAATATATTTCTAGAAATTTCTTAAAAATTAAATGCATACGTAGTGTAACAGTTAATGTGACAAAGACCGCTCATTCTTGATAAGATTTAAAAGACCTACATAGTAATTACTAGTTAAAATAGTACATAGTTCATTAAATCATGATTTTCAAATCTGAAAATGCAAAGTTTGAGTTCATTGTTAGTGGTCTATTTTTTATTTTTTCCCCCTGCCTTTTATTATACTGGGGGCGTAGAACCTGTCACAGAATCATGGTCTGACTGTATTTTAACACTTTAGTATTAAATCTTCTTTTTTGGGATTTAGATAATTGCTTTCTGTCTAATGTGTGATGGTTCAAAATCCTAACCTATAGACCACCAGTAATTATACAGGGTGTTTCGTAGATCATAGGACAAACTTGAAGGGGGTGGTGGAGTGTACTGAAACATGCATTTTTTGTATAGGAAACAAAAAAATTTTTGTAGGGTCTAAAGTGACGGTTTAAGGCAGGAATGCAAAAAAACGAAACGAGAGGAAAATGTATTTTTGTATAAAATCAACGCAAAGTTCTTTGCAGCAATACAGTATTCATATAATAATGTTAAAAAAAGGGAACACTAACAGTAATAGGAACTACAGCTGTGATTGACCGGCAATGCGGCGGTAGTGAGCAGGACAAACCACAATCTGATGCATCAGAGAATCATTCGCAACTCTGACATCAAGCGTAATGGGTGAGTTTATACACAGGGAAAAAGCTGACATGCATCTCATGTGTGGTGCTGCTAATGGGAACAGCAGAGCAGCACTATGGTTCTACCAGGAATGGTTTCCGAACAGGCATATGCCAAAGCACACAATGTTCGAGAGGTCTCTGTGTGAAAACGGGTCATTTGAAGCCACCTGTGATACTAAGAGTGGAAGAAGAAGTGCACGACAACCTCGCATTGAAGAATCCATCTTGAACATTGTGCATGAATCACCTCGAACAAGTGCAAGAGCTAATGCACATCATCTGCAGCTGAGTCATTCCAGCATTTGGAGAGTATTGCATGAAAATGGTTTGCACCCATACCACTTGCAGAGAGTCCAAGCCTTGCAAGAGACAGATTACCCTCTTCGAGTTCATTTCTGTCATTGTTTCTTGCAGCAGTGTGCAGCGCAGGCGGATTTCCCATCGGATGTGCTATTCACAGACGAGGCAACTTTCTCACAGGACTGCATCTTCAATAGCCACAACATGCATGTGTGGGCAACTCAATACACACGGCAGACGTCCACATGCATTTTAAACCCACTTCTCCGTGAATGTGAGGGCGGGTATTGTTAACGACTACCTCATAGGCCCATACCTCTTACCTGCACGTACAAATGGCTTATGTTATCATATTTTTCTGCAAGAGGTGCTACCCGAATTGCTGCATGATGTTCCGGCTGTTGTTCGTGATTGCATGTGGTTCCAGCATGATGGTGCACCAGCCCATAACCACGTGAGGGTCCACAATCACTTGGATGGGACATTTCCAGGCCGATGGATTGGCCATGGTGGACCCGTTCGATAGCCACCCCGTTCGCCAGATTTATCCAGCTTGGATTTTTCTTATGGGGCCATCTGAAGAGCATAATTTAGGAGACTTCCGTTGACTTACTGGAGGACCTCGTTGCACGACTATCCATTGCGTCTGCAAGCGTGCGCGAAATGCCTGTTGTTTTTCAAAATGTTTGTCAATCCCTTCTGCGACGTTACCAAACATGTATTACTGCTGGTGGTCGCAATTTTGAACATTTATTTATAAATACTGTATTGTTATAAAGAAGCACTTTACGTTGATTTTGTACATAAACACATTTTCCTCTCGTGTTTTTTTTTTTTTTTTTTTTTTTTTTTTTTCCATTCCTGCCTTAACCCGTCACTTTAGACCCTACGTTCCTATACAAAAAATGCATGTTTTAGTATACTCTACCACCCTTCCAAGTTTGTCCCATGATCTATGAAACACCCTGTATGTATATTGTTACAAATTTTATACACAGGTAAATAATTTTAATGAAATTAAATGTGAAACTGTAATATTTGTTTTGTATAATGTAGCATGAAAATCTGAAGAAGCCAAACTCTGCCGGAAAAGTAAGAATACAGGGGCAAGTCTATTTAACATTGAGTAAATGGCTGTTTTGCTAAATTGGTTAGATATCGCCAAGTTGGCGACTAATTTTTGTGGCCGAATTTGGTGAGAAATCTTAAACTTAGCGAGCATTTGACAACATTTTGGTCCAGTAGAGTATTGAGATATCTCCGTATGAGCTTCACTCTTTAGATGCGCTTTTCATTACGCTTTGTTTAATTTTGTTAATAGTTTGAAGTGTAACTTTGCTTTTGCTCTGTGATACTGTATAGAGCTGTATAAATACATTTGCAGAAAGTTTCAGAACTGTGAAGTGTTTCTTTTGGTAAAATAAATTTTATTGAGCTATCAACAGTTCTGTGTGTATTCAGTCTATTATGAACCCATATGCAAACAACAATAATGTGTGTATGTATATATATATATATATTGATTGTTCCTCTCCTTTTAAAAAATGTAAATAATATCTAGGAATGGGGAATATAATATTCAACAAGTGTGTCATAAATGCGGTTTTTCTGCTGACTAACTGAGATTTCTGCATGCCACTTTTCTACCATTGATAATGCATTGATTGATGTTGGCCAAGATTACACTTTCATCTCTTGAACAATATATATATATATATATACACACACACACACATTATTGTTGTTTGCATATGGGTTCATAATAGACTGAATACACACAGAACTGTTGGAAATTAGCATTTTTCTGTCTGACATGATCAATAAGTGAATCCCTAATGCTGCCATGTCTATATGTCATTTAACTGGATTTAAACTGATCTAAAATCTGGAGATTTCTGAAACCAGAATTGCCAAAGTGTTGATGACTCTGAATCTCAGACTTTGTTCTGTACTATTTGCATTTTGTGTTTTATTTGATAAGTAGTAATAAAAAACTTGCAAAAGTTATTTTGTTTTTTATTTACTGGGTGTACTGTACTAAATGTAGGCCTTTTTTTAACTAAAGAGTTATAATTTGAAAAATTAATTTGTATTTTTGCTTAAGCAAATTGTACTATTAATTCCTAATACTCATAAGCATTCTTTATCCGTGTTAAATCTATTTTCAATTGTGTTAGTTTGTTATGTTCATTAAAAAATGCCTAAAAGTATATTCATTGCTAAGAAGGAAATTGCATTGCTTGGGCACAAGTGAATGATAGAGGGACTAACTTTACTTTTTTGTGCCAATGGTGACCTGAAGGTAAAATGCCTGTTGTCTTATCATTCAGCAAATCTTTGTCTTTGAAAATCAGAATGCTAATAAGCACAAACGTAAATTATGTTGTTTTTTAAAAGTTTTAAAAAGACAAATAGTTAATGAATCTTTTTAAACAGAGCATGTAAAAATTAATATTTTTGTTTATAAATCTAATAATTTGTTCATAAACACATACTGCATTTACCCCCCCCCAAAAAGTTCTAAATCAGAGAATGGATTAATTGATTCCTCATAAGATGAAATGAGAAACTTAATTTTGTCATACAAACTATGTACAGGAATGTACTAAGTACATAAGTGAAAGCACTACTATTAAGAGGTTTCATTTTCCCAAAAATGTGATCGTCATATGACTTTGCTTATGCCCTGAGTCTTAGTGATGTAAAAGTATGTATGCCAAATTTCAAGACAATTGATTAATATTTAGGGGTTGCACACACTGATCACTTTTATCTTTAGAAATCACTTTTATCTTTTAGAAATTTCTATTATTGAAGTGTTTGGTACTAATGGACAGATACAGGACTGATCCAAGGGACATGTGCCAGAAATGAAAGAGAATTTGGATGAACATTTTTGTGGTTGGCTTGCAGTCATCACACCCATGAACTGATATTAAAAAGAATGTTTGAAAAGTAATATAGCATGCCATCAAGTGGTCTTGACATCCAAATTCCTTCGAAGCTCCAAAGTCAAAGACTTTGGAACTACTCTTCACTAAATAAGAAGCCATATACAACAATGCTGAATAGAGAAAGTCCCATTCAAGCTTTTTAGAAGAACAACAAGTGAAAATGATTAAGTAAATCCAAGATGTCCTAAAAGATGGAAGTCATCCAAGAGAATACTACAAATAATTATTACAACTCTTACTGTAGTATGTAGCAGGTTAGTCTCAAAACGATTAAGTTTCAGGATCCAGAGGCTGTGCATCAAGCAAGTTCGGTGGCAAAGGCAATATATGCATTTAAAATTGTCGTCTTCACTAAATAATTGAATATTCCTCAATGAAAATTGAAGGAATGAAATAGGCTGCACGATTTCCCAGCTTCATATATGT